AGTGATGATGGCGGCTCATGGAGGCCGAGGCCACGGCGGCGCTCGAGCGACTTAAGTCATGAAAGTAAATCAAGTCCCCCCCACCTCTCTCTGCTTCGTTCTTCTCTGCGCCCCCCCCCTCCCCCTACTCTTTTACACCCCACCACCCTTCTTTAACAGGCAATGGAAGGGAGGGTAGCGCCCCCCCCCCCTCCTTTCTAGCGGCGATACGACTGCGCTCCCGCTATGCACGCATCGCAGAGTGACCCAAACTCGTGCACACAACCGGACGCCCCCTCCTCCTCCCCATCCCTGTGCCCACTGCGCTATCCAGAAGACAATGGGGTTGCAGCCCCTGGGCCTGCTCTACAGCGTGTTTAACTGTGATTCACGGCGGCCAGCTCCACTGCCATGGGGAACCTCTATGGGGGGTGGGGGGACCCCTATGGGAACTCCCATGCCCCCCGCGCCCGGGCCGACTGTCTGTGGCGGTATTGATCGTGCGAGGCAAGGGGGGCTCGGCGGGGCTGGAGGGGCGCGGGCAGGGCCTGGGCGCGGAGGCTTCGGAAGGGGCGGCAAGGGCAGGAGCGGTGCGGTGAGGTGGGGCATGACAGTGGTGGGCCCGGCCCAAAGCCCAGCGGCAGCCCAGCGGCAGCCCACCCGCACCAGCCAGCTCGGCCCGGGGGTGGGCAGGACCTGGGCCCCCGCCGTGGGGTCCCCGCCGCGCCCCACCGCGCCCCGCCGAGCCTCGCCGCGATCAGCTGAGCACGGGCGCCAACAGCGGCTCACTCCGGCACCCGCACCGCCCCCGTCACCACGGGCCGCGGCGCCGCTCCGCTCCGCAGCGTGAGCACAGAGCCGACGTCGCTCTCGTCGAGCCGGGCTGCCGGGCGCGCCGCGAGGGAAGTCCCGGCCGGTCCCGGCTCTGGGCCCTGCTGGACGCGCCGAGGGAGCCGCCGGCCGCCGGGGGGCCGACGGCCACCACGTGGTCCAGGCTGTGTTGCTGCTGCTGCGGGTCGCCGAGCCCCGCACGGTCCCCCGGCGGCGGGCCAGAGGCGCCAGGGGCAGGCGACGACGCGGGTGCGGCTCCGCCAGCGGCCCTGGAGCAGCCCGACGAGAGCGAGCAGCCAGAGGAGAGCAGTAGGGATGAGGTCCAGGACCGCGCCGACCCTGATGGTGAGCAGAGCACTACTGGCGGGGATCTCGACGGGAACCGCTATCATCGTCGTTCTTTTTTTTGCGAAAATATTATTTGGGTAGATTTTGTCCTTCTTTTCCCGCTGATGTAACGGTTTCTATGCATAACACGATCGAAAAGACCGCTGCTGTCAGAGACGAATTTCACGATTGGATTGCTGGCAGTATATTTATATCGATATCGGAATGTACCTCCCGTCTCTCTCTATTTCTCTCTCTCTCTGATTGCCGGCGCGATTTATACGCGCGTTCTCCGCCTACGGATTTCCCACTTAATTTTTTGGAGGGGATATCCGGGGGAAGGGGGAGCGATTGATTTTATCACCCGCCTATCTTCCTTTCTTCCTCATCCGAGTGATTGGATGATCCGCCTGGAGGGAGGAGGTGGTAAACAAGACGGTTACCCTCCTTCACTTTCCTCACCCCCCCCCCTTCTTCCCCTCTATCTTTTCCTCTCGCTCACTCTTTTCCTCTTTCTCCCCCGGAGAGCCCCCCCACTCCACAACTAGGCGCAGCACGCCCGTCACGTGACGGCCCAAAGTGTCTCGCATCCTGATAAAAAATGACAGCCAATTCTTTCTCTCGCTCGGCACGTCCGTCCGGCCCGCCCACGGCTCTGCAGCAGCCCTTTCAGCAGCCCCCTTCCCTCCCCCGCGAGACCGCGAAGTCCCTCTCCGCGGAGTTACTCGTCGTCGCGCCGTGACGCTGCGCAGCAGCAGCAGCAGAAGAGAGAGATGAAAGGGGAAAAGGCGCGCCACTCCGAGCGCGGGGAAAAAGGTGGGGAGAAAAGTTTGGCAAGCGGATCCACCTCCTCCGAGTCGTGCCGTATTAGCGCACTGTGTTCTCTCGTCCGTCTCCGACCCCCTTGGCCCCCGAGCCTCGAGGGGAGGGGGGGGGGGCGCTCTTTGGACTCTGCCCTCTGGCGCCCCCATACCCAGGCGGGCCGGACCCTGAGGGCGACGGAAATGACGTTATTAAACGAAGCTTGGGCGTTGGCTTTTGTCGGCTCGGAGTGGGACTTAGGCCCCCTGACCGCGCGCGCCCTCCCACGCCCCCCTCTCGTCCTCGCTGGCGCCCGCCGCGCCCGCACCGGCCGCGTTAGCCACCGTCGAAAGCAAGCTTTACTTTGGCTCGCTCGGAAACTTGACGCGCTGAGATAAACTTCCAGTGGTGCAAGTCCGGCGCTGCTGCGACCCAGCAGCCCAGCGCGCTGCGAGGCCGTCCTCGCCTGGCTTTGGTAGAAGAGGGTTAGCTCAGGTTAGCTTAGGCGGCTCCCCCTCCCCTTCCCTCCTCTCGCGTTGCTCTCGACGGTCCACTCTCTCCCCTGCACACGCCTCGCCATTACCCTCTCCCCCGGGAGAGACCCGCCTTCCCCTTCTCCATACACACCTCAACCTCATTCTCCTCTGCTCACACTCGCACAAACACACCTGTATACCCGCCTGGCGGAG